GGTGTAGGAAAATCCACATATAAGTGGACTGCTGCAGTTCAAACCCATGTTGTGCAAGGGTCAGCTGTATATTTACACAAAAGTCTCTTCTGAAGAATGCATAGTATTTGAGTATATTGTCTATGTTATATAATTTTCAGGTAACCTTACCCTCAACAATATTTTAAGCCCTTAATAAGGAAGCCAGAAAGCAGAGTGACTTGTATGACTTGGCTTCTATTCAGGGCTCAGTGCAAACCCTGATTTACGATGTTCTGGTTTCTGTTTTGGGATATTCTTTCCTAAGATTATGATCTTATTCCCTCACTAGACACACAGCATTTGTTTCTAACTTCCTAATTTACTTAGAATTTGGGGTTTAGATGGGATCAGATTTGATTAAAGCATTAATTCCCAAACCATATTATATTTTGGAATTATTAAATAACTGGGGAAATTTTACTGATACCTGAGTCCTACCCTGGATCTGCTGAAATAAAATTTCAGGAATTGAGGACTACTAATCTATTTTTAAATGTTTCCCAGGTGGTTCTAAGGTAGCGAGCCTGGCACTTGAATTTGGCATCCACTGAACTAAAGCATTCTGTTTTAATTTACTACATTTCGTATAGTGCACAATTGTTTCAGAGAGTAAAAAGTTATTCTTCTCTAGCTATGCATTTTCCGTTGGTGGAAGAAACCAATATAGGTCATTTCCTTACATATGTTTCTAGAGGTACTGTGCATATATGAGAATATACTCACAGCACATGAATACATGTTCATGCTCTCACCATGCTCCCCTTCATTTACACAAATACTAGTATATACACATTTTTACGAACTTTGTTTTTTTCACTTGGAATTTGTTTTATAAAGAATTTTTTTTTTTTTTTTTTAACCAGGGTCTTGTTCCATCTCCTGGGCTAGAGTGCAGTGGCATTATTGTAGCTCACTGCATCCTCAAACTCCCGGGCTCCAGTGATCCTCCTGCCTTAGCCTCCCAAGTAACGGATACAGGCGCGTGCCACCATGCCTGGCTAATGTTTTTATTTTTTATAGAAATGGGTTCTCTTGCTCAGGCTGGTCTCAAACTCTTGGCCTCAAGCTCTCCTGTCTCAGCCTACCGAAGTGCTGGGATTACAGGCATGAGCCATTGTGCCAGCCAAAATGGTTTTTTTTATCCATGATAGCATAAACAATGCCTGTATTTCCTTTTCCAGATTCCCCAATTGTCCGCAGTTATCCACATCTATCGTTTTGTCTGTCTTTACATACAAACATGGTAATATGTGTACTTTTTTCCTGAACCATTTATAAATAAGTTGAAGACAAGATGCTTCATTACCCACTTAGATATGCTTCACTGTATGTTTTCTAAAAACAAGGATATATTTCACATACCCCATAGTTTCTCCAAAATCAAGAAATTAACATTGATTCGTCATTATAGACCCCATTAAAATTTCATCAGTTGTCCCAGTAATGTCCTTTGCAGGTCTATCCAGCTCTGGATTACTCATGGTGTTTGTCACGTTGTTGTATTAGCTTCAATCTGGAACAGTTCCTCGGTCTTTATTGTCTTTCATGATCTTGACATCTTTGATATCTCTGTATATAAGAAACCATAAATTCCCATTGATACCTCCAATTCCAGTCTTGCTCCACAGGGTTTATTTTAGCTTCCGACTTTCCATGTTTGTAGCTCCTTTGACAGTGAGAAGCTTCAATATATTTACTCATTTGTTCCATTCATTTATGAAAGACTATTCTGAAGACACCAACCATGTCGTCCCCTGCGCCCGTCATTACACAGGCTTTGATGAACCAGCTGAGCATCCCCAGATTCTTGGGGACTGGCCCTGATGCCAGTGATGACAGAGGCCATCGCACCTGGTCAAGGATCCTTCCCACGCTATGAGGCACTGCACCAACAGAAGGAACCAGTTCTTTTTTTGGCTGCATTTATTCCATTGTATCAGTGAGGGAATCACAATTTATTAATCAGTCTATTACTGATGTGTATAGATGGTCCTTGACTTAAGATGATTAGACTTACAATTTTTTGGCTTTACAATAGTGTGAAAGTGATACACAGTAGAAACCATACTTCAAATTTTGAATTTTAATCTTTTCCGGGGCCAGTAATATGCTGTATAGTACTCTCTTGTGATGCTGGGCAGTGGTAGTGAGTTGCAGATCCCAGTCAGCCACTTGATCACAAGGGTAAAGAAACTGATACTCTACAGTGCACCATGTTGCCAGCATTTTTGGGATATTTTGTGTTTTTGTATCCCATAGTATCTATAAAACACCCATTTTCCACTAATGTTATTTTTGTAAAATATTTTTATTTCAGATTATTATGGGGGTACAAATGATTTGGTTAC